TAGAGAAAATAGGGGTTTGGAATAGACTTATCTTTAAACATATGCAAAATTTAAAGAGAAAAATATTTACCATGTCTCCCTTGCCTATAATAATAAAATTTATTTTCATACAAGTATATTATGTAATAGTAGTTAAATGTTGAGCATAGCTAGTTGTGCATATTCAGTGCTCAATATTGCCTGATGTTATCTGTTATCTTTGTTATGGCCATCATCATTGTTGCTATCATTGTCATCATCACCATCATTATCATCATCACCATGATCATCCCCATCATGACCACCACAAACATAATCGTCAGCACACTCAACACATCATCATTATCATCTTAATCACATGACCATCACTGGCATCATCCTCATCACCATCATTGTTATTGTCATCAGCGACACCACTACCAACATCAACATCATCAGTACCATGGTCACCATCATAAACAGCACTACCAATATCATCATCATCATCATCATCACACTCAGCACATCATTACCATCGTAACATTCACAACCGTCATGGACAACATCCTCATGCCCATCATCATCATTGTCAGTAACATCACCACCACCATCATCAACAGCAACACCATAATCATAAATCATCATCACACTCAATATGTCATTATTACTGTTACCACCACTACCACCATCATCATCACATGAACACAAGCTCACTGAGGGCAGAGATGTTTTTATTGCTTTTGTTTTCCTTGCTATATCCCTAGGGTCTGGAACACTGTAGGTGGCCAATAAATATTTTTGGTTCACTCAGTATCAACTAGAAATTTATTATGATTTTCCATTTTCATTTGACTGAAAATGTCACAGATGTTTCCATTCATCAGGCATGATCTAACACAGATACCATTGGCTGGTGCTTACTTGTGGGGCTGGTGAGGGAAGATGGAGTCTCTGAAGTCCCAAGGTCCACTGTGGAGGTCCCAGGAGCTGAGAAAAAGTCCACTTCAGTGAAAGCAGAAAACACTGTCATGGCAGGAATGGCAAGAAGGTAGACTAGTATGAGGTCTGCTGCATGTGGGCTTGAGCTGGGTCTGTCTTTGGAGCTGGGCGGAGGGGAACTTGGGTAACTTCTGCCTTTCCAACTCATTTGCTCAAGAGGAGGACTTATGGGTTTAAGAGGAGGGGCCAGCTCCTGCTCCACTTGATATAGGATCAGGGGCATCTGGACATGAGTTGAATACTCACTGCTGGTGGTGGGCACAGATGTCCGATGGGTGAAACCTGTATAGAGAAGGAGGGAGGAGACTGGGTAAGGGTTAAGGAGATGTGGGGAACGCAATAGAGTTCAGGACTATCCTGGTGCAATTAAATGAGTTTCACGGGACAGGAGTCATTAAAGATTTCCTAGCAGCATCATCACAACAGGGAAGAGTGCCCAGAGGGAATGCCTCTCATGATAACGAAGAATCCATGAAGTCCAGAACTTAGTCATCCCATGTAGAGCATATGACAGAATTTTCAATGGCCAGGTAGGGAGTGTGCCCCCAAGCCAGAGATTAGAGGTTGCACATCAAGGAGGAAGAGACTCTTAGCATACCACAGCTGCTCACCATTGACATAGAGGCTGTTCATGTCCAGAGTGTAGGGGCCCAGCTCTTTGATGCCATGGGTCAAGTGGCTCAGTTCCCAGTACAGCTGCTCCCTGTCCACTCGGTCAAGACGGTGGGTGCAGATGGCATCCACTCCAGTGGCTGCTCCATCCTTCTCGGACCTGGGGAAGGTAGGAGGGGGAATGACAATGAAAAGATTACCTAGGACTTGTCTTGAGATTGTTGAGGGAAATATATCAAGGAACCAGAGGAAATGAGAAATCTGGGGAAGAGGTGAAAATCTGCACTTACATTATCTGAGTACATTGACCACTGTCTTGGTTGGGACTGAGAGTAGAGTCCTGGATATAATAATTTTTATAAAAATGCAAGATGAAACCTGCATTCTCATGGCATGGGGACAGGAGAACCCAGACCTGAGAGCAGTGAAGAGTTTGAAAGGGGGATGCATGTATGTGAATGAGGTATGATTGTCTTTTTTTGTTGTTGTTGTTCTTGTAAATAAAGCATACTTTATTTTTTTTAAATTTTTAAATTTTTTATTTTTTATTATTATACTTTAAGTTCTAGGGTACATGTGCATAACGTGCAGGTTTGTTACATATGTATACCTGTGCCATGTTGGCGTGCTGCACCCATCAATTCGTCATTTACATCAGGTATAACTCCCAATGCAATCCCTCCCCGCTCCCCACGATAGGCCCCGGTGCATGATGTGATTGTCTTAAGAGCAGTCCTGGTGACAGAATTTAACACTAAATGAAAGGGAGGGACAGACAAAGGAGGGAATTCAGAGGAGTGATCAGGATAGTGCCTCAATCCTGATGGTGAACCATGAAGATTCTCCATGTTGAGGTGGGGCATGGGGGTGTTACTATCAGGAAACAACATGTTCTCAAGCCAGTGACTCCTAAATTCCCTTTTTGGTGATGATATCCCTAGGAAGTGCAGCAAGGAGACAGTGCAAAGTCTTTTGGAGTGAGGACAATTGGGGCAGCCAGGCTACCTCTTCTAAAGTCTCACCTGAGCAAAGTCAGTCTGCAGCCAGAGTACAGAGGGCCAACACTGGTGTTCTTGAACATGGGACCAAGCTGTGGAGGAGGGAGAGGGAGGTGATTAGGAGGGCTAAGGTGTGTGTGTTAGGGGCAGATGTGAGGTGGGCAGAGCAGGCACCAATGAGGAGGGTTGGTCTCCATGGGCGGGGCTTGCATGTCTCAGGGGCAGGGGTGAGGTTGGGGCTACCTTCTTTCATCACTTTGGCATCTTTGATGTAGAAGGGACTGGATATCTGGGGCTAGTCAGAGTGAGGAGGGCAGGGCACTAACCAGACTCTGAAGGACCCTCTCCGTGGTGTTGAACTTCCTGGAGCCAGGGCGACGCATTTCCTCCTCGTACTTCAGGTTGGTGATGGTGAAGTTGAGGGTGAACGGCACCAGGAGAGGGCCAGCAGCTGTAGTGGGAATTGAAAACAAATACTGTGTTCAAAGTAGAGAAAATAGGGGTTTGGAATAGACTTATCTTTAAACATATGCAAAATTTAAAGAGAAAAATATTTACCATGTCTCCCTTGCCTATAATAATACAATTTATTTTTATTCAAGTATATTATATAATAGTAGTTAAATGTTGAGCATAGCTAGTTGTGCATATTCAGTGCTCAATATTGTCTGATGTTATCTGTTATCTTTGTTATGGCCATCATCATTGTTGCTATCATTGTCATCATCACCATGATCATCCCCATCATGACCACCACAAACATAATCATCAGCACACTCAACACATCATCATTATCATCATAACCACATGACCATCACTGGCATCATCCGCATCATCATCATTGTTATTGTCATCAGCATCACCACTACCAATATCAACATCATCAGTACCATGGTCACCATCATAAACAGCACCATCATCATCATCATCATCGTCATCATCATCACACTCAGCACATCATTACCATCACAACCTTCACAACCATCACTGACAACATCCTTATGTCCATCATCATCAATGCCAATAACTTCACCACCACCATCATCAACAACAATGCCATAATCATAAATCATCATCACACTTAATATGTCGTTATTACTGTTACCACCACTACCACCATCATCGTCACATGAACACAAGCTCACTGAGGGCAGAGATGTTTTTATTGGTTTTGTTTTCCTTGCTATATCCCTAGGGTCTGGTACACTGTAGGTGGCTAATAAATATTTTTGGTTCACTCAGTATCACTAGATTTATTATTATATTCCATCTTCATTTGATTGAAAATGGCAGAGATGTTTACATTCATCAGGCATGATCTAATACAGATACCATTGGCTGTTACTTACTTGTGGGGCTGGGGACGGAGGATGGAGTCCCTGAGGTCCCAAGGTCCACTGTGGAGGTACCAGGAGCTGAGAAAAAGTCCTCATCAGTGAAAGCAGAGACCACTCTCATGGCAGAAATGACAAGAAGGTAGACAATTGTGAGGTCTGCTGCATTTGGTCTTGACCTGGGTCTGTCTTTGGAGCTGGGGCAAAAGGGAGCTTGAGTAACTTCTGCCTTCCCAGCTCATTTGCTCAAGAGGAGGACTTATGGGTTTAAGAGGAGGGCCCAGCTCCTGCTCCACTTGATATAGGATCAGGGGCATCTGGACATGAATTGAATACTCACTGCTGGTGGTGGGCACAGAAGTCCGATAGGTGAAACCTGCATAGAGAAGTAGGGAGGAGATGGCTAAGGGTTAAGGAGATGTGGGGGACGCAATAGAGTTCAGGACTATCCTGGTGCAATTAAAGGAATTTCATGGGAGAGGGGTCATTAAAGATTTCCTATCAGCATCATCACAACAGGGAAGAGTGCCCAGAGGGAATGCCTCTCACGATAACGAAGAAACCATGAAGTCCAGAACTTAGTCATCCCATGTAGAGCATATGACAGAATTTTCAATGGCCAGGCAGGGAGTGTGCTCCCAAGCCAGAGATTAGAGGTTGCACATCAAGGAGGAAGAGACTCCTAGCATACCACAGCTGCTCACCATTGACATAGAGGCTGTTCCTGTCCAGGGTGTAGGGCCCCAGCTCTTTGATGCCATGGGTCAAGTGGCTCAGTTCCCAGTACAGCTGCTCCCTGTCCACTCCAGGGCTTCTGGGGTCAAGACGGTGGGTGCAGATGGCATCCACTCCAGTGGCTGCTCCATCCTTCTCGGACCTGGGGAAGGTAGGAGGGGGAATGACAATGAAAAGATTACCTAGGACTTGTCTTGAGATTGTTGAGGGAAATATATCAAGGAACCAGAGGAAATGAGAAATCTGGGGAAGAGGTGAAAATCTGCACTTACATTATCTGAGTACATTGACCACTGTCTTGGTTGGGACTGAGAAGCAGAGTCATGGATATAATAATTTTTATAAAAGTGCAAGGTGAAACCTGCATTCTCATGGCATGGGAACAGGAGAACCCAGACTTCAGACTAGTGGTGAGCTTGAAAGGCTGATGCATGTATGTGGATGAGGCATGATTATGTTGAGAGAAATCCTGGGGACAGAATTTAACACCTAAATGAAAGGAAGGGGCACGGAAAGAAGGGAATTCAGAGGGGTGATCAGGGTAGTGCCTCAACCCTGATGATGGACCATGAAGATTCTGCATGTTGAGGTGGGGCATGGGGGTGTTACTATCCGGAAACAACTGGTTCTCAAGCCAGTGACTCCTGAATTCCCCTTTTGGTGAGGATATACCTAGGAAGTGTAGCAAGGAAGCAGTGCAAAGTCTTTTGGAGTGGGAACAAGTGGGGCAGCCAGGCTGGCTCTTCTAAAGTCTCACCTGAGCAAGGTCAGTCTGCAGCCAGAGTACAGAGGGCCAACACTGGTGTTCTTCAACATGGGACCAAGCTGTGGAGGCGGGAGAGGGAGATGGGGAGGAGGGGGAGGCAGGTGAGTAGGAGGGCTGAGGTGTGTGTGTTAGGCGCAGATGTGAGGTGGGTGGAGCAAGCACCAATGAGCCGGGCCGGTCTTCTTGGGTGTGGTTTGCATCTCTCGGAGGGAAGGGTGAAGTTGGTGCTATCTTCTTTTATCACCCTGGCATGGATGATGTAGAAGGGACTGGATATCTGGGGCCGGGCAGAGTCAGGAGGGCAGGGCACTAACCAGATTCTGCAAGACCCTCTCTGTGGTGTTGAACTTCCTGGAACCAGGGTGACGCATGTCCTCCTCATACTTTAGGTTGGTGATGGTGAAGTTGAGGGTGAAAGGCACCAGGAGAGGGCCAGCAGCTGTAGTGGGAATTGAAAATAAACACTATGTTCAAAGTCAAGAAATGGGGGTTTGGAATAGACTTATCTTTAAACATGCGCAAAATTTAAATTGAGAGAGAAAATATTTACCATGTCTTCCTTGCCTATAATAATACAATTTATTTTTATAAAAGTAGATTATATAATAGTAGTTAGATGCTGAGCATAAGTATTCATGCATATTCAGTGCTCAATATTGTTTGATGTTATCTGTTATATTTATGATGGCTGGTCATTGTCATCGTTACTATCATTTTCACCATCATAAACAGCACCACCACCATCATCATCATCATCATCACACTCAACACATCATCACTACCATCATAACCTTCACAACCATCACTGACAACATCCTTATGTCCATCACCATCATTGTCAGTAACATCACCACCATCGTCATCAACAGCATCACTACCATCATCAATCATCATCACACTCAACCTGTCATTATTACTGTCATAACCACCACCACCATCATCATCATCACATGAACACAAGCTCACTGAGGGCAAAGATGCTTTTATTCGTTTTGTTTTCCTTGTATCTCTAAGCTCTGGTACACTGTAGGTGGCCAATAAAATTTTGGTTCACTCAGTATCACTGGATTTACTATGATTTTCCATCTTCATTTGAGTGAAAATGGCACATACGTTCACATTCATCAGGCATAATCTAAGGGAGATGCCATTGACTGGTACTTACCTGTGGGGCTTGGGAGGAAGGATGGAGTCCCTGAGGTTCCAAAGGCCACTGTGGAGGTCCCAGGAGCTGAGAAAAAAATCCTTATCATTGAAAGCAGAAAATAATCTCATGGCAGAAATGGCAAGAAGTTAGACTATTATGAGGTCTGCTGCATGTGGGCTTGAGCTGGGTCTGTCTTTGGAGCTGGGGTGGAGGGGAGCTTCAATAACTTCTGCCTTCCCAGCTCCATTGCTCAAGAGGAGGACTTATGGGTTTAGGAGGAGGGGCCAGCTCCTGCTCCACTTGATGTAGGATCAAGGGTGTCTGGACATGAGTTGAATACTCACTGCTGGTGGTGGACACAGAGGTCCGATGGGTGAAACCTGCATAGAGAAGGAGGGAGGAGACTGGGTAAGGGTTAAGGAGATGTGGGGGGTACAATAGGGGCCATGGCAATCCTGGTGCAATTAAAAGAGTTTCATGGGACTGAGGCCATTAAAGAATTCCTATCAGCATCCTCACAACAGGGAAGAGTGCCCTGAGGGAACACAGTTCATGAGAATGAAGAAACCGTGAAGTCCAGAACTTAGTCATCCCATGTAGAGCAAACGACAGAATATTCAATGACCAGGCAGGGAGTGTGACTTCAAGCCAGAGATTAGATTCTTCCCAGATTCTAGAGGGAAAAAACTCCAACCACATCACAGCTGCTCACCATTGACATAGAGACTGTTACTGTCCAGGGTGTAGGGGCCCAGCTCTTTGATTCCATTGGTCAGTTGGCTCAGGTCCCAGTACAGCTGCTCTCTGTTGAGTCCAGGGCTTTTGGGGTCAAGATGGTGGGTGCAGATGGCATCCACTCCAGTGGCTGCTCCATCCTTCTCGGACCTGGGGAAGGTAGGAGGGGGAATGACAATGAAAAGAGTACCAGGACTTGTCTTGAGATTGCTGAGGGAAACATGTCAAGGAACCAGAGGAAATGAGAAACCTGGGAAAGAGGTGAGAAGCCACACCTAGATTTTCTGAGTGCACTGACTATTGTCTTGCTTGGAACTGTGAGCAGAATCACGGATACAACCATGCTTATCAAAGTGCAAGGTGAAACCTACATTCTCATGGCATGGGGACAGGAGAGCCCAGACTTGAGTCCAGTCAAGAGCTGGAAATGGGGATGAAAGCACATGGATGAGGCATGATTGTCTTGGGAGAAATTCTAGGGACAGAATTTAACACCTAAATGAAAGGGAGTGGCAGGGAAAGGAGGGAATTCAGAAGGATCATCAGGGTAGAGGCTCAATCCTGATGATGGACCATGCAGATTCTCCCTGTTGAGGTGGGGTGTGGGGGTGTTACTATCAGGAAACACATTGGTCCTGAAGCCAGTGACTCCTGCATTCCCCTTTTGGTGAGGATATCCCTAGGAGGTGCAGCAAGGAGGCAGTGCAAAGTCTATTGGAGTGGAAACAATTGGGGCAGCCAGGCTGGATCTTCTAAAGTCTCACCTGAGAGAGGTCAGTCTGCAGCCAGAGTACACAGGGCCAACACTAGTGTTCTTGAATACAGGGCCAAGCTGTGAAGGAAGGAGAGGAAAGAGAGTAGGAGGGCTAAGGTGTGTGTGTGGGGGGCAGAAGTCAGGTGTGTGGAGCAGGCACCAGTGGGTGGGGCTGGCCTCAGTGAGCAAGTCTTGCATCCTTTGCAGGCAAGGGTGAGATGGGTGCAATCTTCTTCCACAGCTCTAGCTTGGATGATGTAGGAGGGACTGGGTATTTGGGGAGGGGCAGGAATAAAGTGGGTAGGGCTCTCACCAGACCCTGCAGGACCCTCTCTGTGGTGTTGAACTTCCTGGAGCCAGGGTGATGCATGTCCTCCTCGTACTGTAGGTTGGTGATAGTGAAGTTGAGGGTGAACGGCACCAGGAGAGGGCCAATGACTGTAGTTGGAATGGGAAATAAACACTATGTTCAAAGCAGAGAAAATACCAGTTTGCAAGAGACTTATCTTTCAATATATATAGAATTTAAATTGAGCGACAAAATATTTACCATGTCTCCCTTGCCTATAATAATACAATTTACTCTTATAAAAGTGTATGATGTAATAGTAGATGCTAAGCATAGCTTTTGGTGAATACATATTGCTCAATACTGTCTGACATTTTCTGTTAACTTTATTGTCACCATCATCACCATCACCAAGATTGTCACCATCACCATCATTATTATCATCATCGCCACTGTTATCACCACCATGATAATCCCCATCATGACCACCACAAACATCATCACCCTCAACACATCATCATTGCCATCATAACCCCACCACCATCACCAGAATCATCCTCATCACCATCATCGTTGTCATCAACATCACTACCACCATCATCAAGATCACCACTATCATCATTATAAACAGCAACACTACCACTATCATCATCTCACTCAATACATCATAATTACCATCATAACCTCTACTACCATCACCAGCATCATCCTCATCACCATCACCATCATCAACATCACTACCACCATCATCAACAGTATGACCATCATCATCATCATCATCATCATAAACAATGTCACCACCACCACCATCATCATCCCACTCAACACATCATTATTACCATCATAACTATCACCACCATCATCATCATCACAAGAATACAAGCTCACTGAGGGCATAGGTTGTTTTAAAATTGATTTTCTTTTTCTCACTGTATTCCTGGGGTCTGGTACACAGTAGGTGGCCAAAACAAATTTATCCACTCACTATCACTAGATTTACTTTGATTTTCCATCTTTATTTGAGTGAAAATGACAGAGATGTTTACACTAATCAGGCACACTCTCATAGATATGTCATTGACTGATACTTACTCGTGGGGCTGGAGAGGGAGGATGGAGTCCCTGAGGTTCCAAAATCCACTATGGAGGTCCCAGGAGCTGAGGAAAATTCCTCGTCAGTGAAAGCAGAAAGCACTCTCTTGGCAGAAATGGCAAGAGGGGAGACTATTTATGGGGTTTGTTGCATGTGTGGCTTGAGCTGGGGTGGTGTCTTGAGCTGGGCAGAGGGGCGCTTGAATAACTTCTGCCCTCCTAACTTGTTTGCTCATGAAGAGGACTTATGGGTTTATGAGGAGGGGCCAGCTCCTGCTCCTCTTGGTGTAGGAACCAGGGCATTTGGACATGAGTTGAATACTCACTGCTGGTGGTGGACACAGAGCTCCGATGGGTGAAACCTGCAAAGAGAAGGAGGGAGGAGAGTGGGTAAGAGACAGGAGAGGTGGGGGACCAAATGGAGGTCAATGCTACCCTGGTGCAATGAACTGAGTTTCATGGTACAGGGACCATTGAAGATTTCCTATCAGCATCTTCACATCAGGAAAGAATGCCCTGAAGGAACACAGTCCACAATGATAACGAAACCATGAAGTTCAGACCTCAGTCATCCCATGTAGAGCATATGACAGAATTTTCAAAAGCCAGGCGGGCAGTGTGACCTCTAATTAGAGATTAGAGGCTGTCCGGCAAGGGGGAAGAGATTTTAACCACATCACAGTCACTCACCATTGACATAGAGACTGTTCCTGTCCAGGGTGTAGGGGCCCAGCTCATCAATGCCATTGGTCAGCTTGCTTAGCTCCCAGTACAGCTGCTCCCTGTTGAGTCCAGGGCTTTTGGGGTCAAGGCGGTGGGTGCAGATGGCATCCACTCCAGTGGCTGCCCCATCCTTCTCGGGTCTGGGGAGGGTCAGTGGGAAAAATGACAATGAAAAGATTATCTAGGAAAGGTCTTGTGATTGCTGAGGGAAGGACAGCAAGGACCAGAGAAATGAAAAACCTGGGAAAGAGGTGAGAAGCCACATCGACTCTTAGTGCATGCGCTATTGTCTGGCTTAGGTCTGTGAGTGGAGTCACGGATACAATTACTTTTATAAAAGTGCAAGATGAAACTGACATTTTCATGGACGGGACAGGGGGGCCAGACTTGAGCCCAGTGAAGAGCTGGAAATGAGGATGAAAGCACGTGGATGAGGCATGATTGTCCTGAGAGAAATCCTGGAGACAGAATTTAACACCTAAAGGAAAGGGAGGCACAAGGAATGGAGGGAATTCAGAGGGATGATAAGGGTAGGGGCTCAATCCTGATGATGGGCCATGCAGATTCTCTCTGTTGAGGTGGGGTGTAGGGGTGTTGCTATCAGGAAACACACTGATCCTGAAGCCAGTGACTCCTGAATTCCACCTTTGGTGAGGATATCCCTAGGAAGTGCAGCAAGGAAGCAGTGCAAAGTCTTTTGGAGTGAGAACAAGTGGGGCAGCCAGGCTGGAAATTCTAAGGTCTCACCTGAGCAAGGTCAGTCTGCAGTCAGAGTACAGAGGGCTGACACTGGTGTTCTTGAACAAGGGCCTGAGCTGTGGAGGAGGGAGAGGGAGGTGAGTAGGAGGGCTAAGTTGTATGTAGGAGCCAGGCAGAAGTGAAATGGGCAGGGCTGGCTTCGGTGGGTGAGGCTTGCATCTCTTCTTTTTTTTTTTGAGATGGAGTTTCGCTTTTTAGCCTAGGCACGATCTTGGTTCACTGCAACTTCTGCCTCCCGGATTCGAGTGATTCTCTTGCCTCACCCTCCCAAGTAGCTGGGATTACAGGCATGCACCACCATGCTCAGCTAATTTTGTATTTTTAGTAGAGATGAGGTTTCATCATGTTGGCCAGGCTGGTCACAAACTCCTGACCTCAGTGATCCACCCGCCTTGGCCTCCCAAAGTGCTGGTATTACAGGCGTGAGCCACTGCTCCTGGCTGAGGCTTGTATCTCATGGGGCAAGAGTGAGTTGGGTGTGATATTCTTCCATTGCCCCGGCATGGATGATGTAAGGGGAACTGGGTATCATGAGCAAGGCAGAGTGTGGAGGGCAAGACACTAACCAGACCCTGCAGGACCCTCTCTGTGGTGTTGAACTTCCTGGAGCCAGGGCGACGCATGTCCTCCTCGTACTGCAGGTTGGTGATGGTGAAGTTGAGGGTGAACGGCACCAGGAGAGGGCCAGCAGCTGTAGTGGGAGTGGGAAATAAACATTATGTTCAAAGTAGAGAGAATAGCACTTTGTAATAACCATATGCAGCAATTAAATTAAGTGACATAATAAATATTTTCCATGCCTTTCTTATCTATGATACAATTTACTTTCTAAAGTAGATTATATAATAGTAGTTAGATGCTGAGCATAGCTCTTGGCACATATGTAGTGCTCAATATTGTGAGATGATATCTGTTATCTTTATTATCACCATTATCATCATCACTATCATAGTCATCATTATTATTATTATCATCATTATTCTCATCACAAGTACCACCAGCACCACCATGATGATCCCCATCATGGTCATGATCCACAAACATCATCATCAACATCATCACATTCAACATATCATTACCATCATAACCCCACCACCATCACCGACATCATTCTCATTACCATCATCGTCATTGGCATGGACATCACCGTCACCATCATCAACAATGTCAGTAGCATAATAATAATAATAATCATCATCATCAACACTACCACCATCACCATCATCATCATCACACTCAACATATCATTACCATCATAACCCCACCACCATCACCGACATCATCCTCATCCCCATCATTGTAATTGTCATTGACATCACCATTACCATCATCAACATCACTAGCATAATAATAATCATCATCACCATCGTCAACACCACCACCATCATCATCACACTCAACTTATCATTATTACCATAGTAACCCCCACCACCATCACCAGCATCATTTTCTTCAACATCATCACCATCACCATCATCATCAACAGCACCACCACTACCATCATCATCATGACAAGAATACAAGCTCACTGAGAGCAGAGATTTTGTATCGGTTTTGTTTTCCCTGCTATATCTCTAGGATCTGGTACACAATAAGTGGCCAACAAATTTCATTGGTCCACTCACTGTCGGTAGATTTGCTATGATTTTCCATCTTCATCTGAGTAAAAATGACAGAGATAGCATGCTGTAATAGAGATGTCATTAACTGGTACTTACTCGTGGGGCTGGGGCTGGAGGATAGAGTCCCTGAGGTTCCCACATCCACTGTGGAGGTCCCAGAAGCTGAGGAGAAGTCCTCATTAGTGGGAGCAGAAAGCACTACCATGGCAGAAATGCCAAAAGGTGACTTTTATAGGGTTTGCTGCATGTGGGCTTGAGCTGAGTCTGTCTTTGAAACTGGGGCAGAGAGGAGCCTGAATAACTTCTGCCTTCCCAGCTGCTTTGCTCAAGAGGACTTATGGGTTTATGAAGAGGGGCAGCTCCTGCTTTGCTTTGTGTAGGATTATGGGCATGTGGAAATGAGTTGAATACTCACTGCTGGTGGCGGACATAGAGCTTCGATGGGTGAAACCTGCATAGAGAAGGAGGGAGGAGTGTGGGTAAGTGACGAGGAGATGTGGGGGACCAATTAGGGGTCAGGGCTACCCTGGTGCAATGGAAGGAGTTTCATGCAACAGGGACCATTAAAGATTTCCTATCAGCACCCTCATATCGGGGAAGAATGCCCTGATGGAATTCATTCCATGATGATGAAGAAACCGTGAAATCCTGGCCAGGTGCGGTGGCTCAAGCCTGTAATCCCAACACTTTGGGAGGCCAAGGCAAGGTGGATTATGAGATCAAGAGATCGAGACCATCCTGGCCAACATGGAGAAACCCTGTCTCTACTAAAAATACAAAAATTAGTTGGGTGTGGTGGCATGCATCTGTAGTCCCATCTACTCGGGAGGCTGAGGCAGGAGAATTGCTTGAACCTGGGAGGCGGAGGTTGCAGTGAGCTGAGATCATGCCACTGCACCTCAGCCTGGCAACAGAGCGAGACTCCGTCTCAAAAAAAAGAGATAATCTGAAGTCCAGAACTTAGTCATCCCATGTAGAGCACAGGGACAAATTTTCAATTGCCTGGTAGTGAGTGTGACCTCAAGCCAGAGATTACAGACTGCCCAGCAAGGAGGAAGAGGAAGAGCCTCCTACCACATCACAGCTGCTCACCGTTGACATAGAGACTGTTCCGGTCCAGGGTGTAGGGGCCCAGCTCCTGGATGCCATTGGTCAGGTTGCTCAGCTCCCAGTACAGTCGCTCTCTGTCCAGTCCGAGGCCTTCAGGGTCAGGGCGATGTGTGCAGATGGCATCCACTGCTGTGGCTGATCCGTCCTTCTCTGGCCTGGTTAAGAACCTACATATGCTTAGTCAATCCACCTCTCCATCCTTTTGTCCTTCCTTTCCACTCTTTGTCAGCCCCTAATGCGAAATCTGGGGAAACTGTGGTTAACAAGAATGTGGCTCTCAGTCCGGGCACAGTGGCTCACGCCTGTAATCCCAACACTTTGGGAGGCTGAGGCGGGTGGATCACGAGGTCAAGAGATTGAGACCATCCTGGCCAACATGGTGAAACCCTATCTCCACTAAAAATGCAAAAATTAGCTGGGTGTGGTGGTACGTGCCTGCAGTCCCAGCTACTCGGGAGGCTAAGCCAGGAGAATTGCTTGAACCCAGGAGCCAGAGGTTGCAGTGAGCCAAGATCACGCCACTGCACTCCAGCTTGGGCAACAGAGAGAGACTCTGTCTCAAACAAACAAACAAGCAAACAAACAAAAAGAATGCGGCTCTCATGAGAGAGATGCCTACCATAAACAAATTACTAGGATTATTAGTGGAAGCAGAAAGCATTATCATGGCAGAAATGCCAAGAGGTGAGACTTTTATAGGGTTTACTGCATGTGGCTTGAGCTGAGTCTGTCTTTGGAACTGGGGCAGAGGGGAGCTTGAATAGTTTCTGCCTTCCCAGCTGCTTTGCTCAAGAGGAGGGCTTACGGGTTTATGAGGAGGGGCAGCTCCTGCTTTGCTTGGTGTAGGATCCTAGGATAATAATGCCAGGGATCTGCATGGCCCCGAATAAGCCTCCTAAAGTACCAGATGTGCGACAGCTGTACTTAGGGTCAATCTGTAATCCATGGCAGTGGCCCTTGTACTGGTGCGCGTAGCAGTGGCCCTCCTACTGGTGCCCACGGCATGGTGTTTTCAAATGGCGGGATCAGAAGGTTCAAGTAATCGTCTCTAGATCCTACGGACCAGCAGGGCTAGGAGATTTGTTATGAAACTTAAAGGACCTGAATGGCTTGGGAAAAATGCCCTTTTTGGCTGGTCTGTCTGAAACTGTGGCTGGTCCAACAAGCAGTCAGAAGGTCTTCGTGTGTCAGCACCTGTTCCTGGCCACAGGACATGGACTCACCTACCTGGCCACCCACTATTGAGTGATTAGAGGAAAAGGGGCTCCTATGTCCCAGGGTTGTGAGTAGCTCTATAGTACGAACGACTTTATAGTAACAACTACCATTTATTAAGTACTTCCTATGCAGCAGGCCCAGCATTTTGTATTCATAATCACATATTTTCATCCTCAAAGCATCCCTATGGGTTGGTACTGCTCAATTGCCCCAGTCAGTACTATACTAATTATATTATGTATAACACAATTATATATAACATAAAATATATAAATATGTAGATCTGTAAATATAAGCTTAATATAGAAATATATGATATTGTTTTGCATTTTATACATTATTATATTATATAGCATATGTAATATATACTATTATACCTCTTCCTAACATATATTAAATTGGTTTATATGTAACTATTTTATATAATTATACAACTATATAACTATTATGTAACTATTTTTTATATAACTACCATATACCTCTACCTAACATATATTAAACTGATTTATATATAACTATTGTATATAACTACATAACTATTTTTATATAACTACTACATACTTTTAGATGCTTCTTGACTCATGATGGTATTATGTCCTGATAAACCCATGTTTTTTATTTTCTTTTTTGTTTTTGTTTTCTTTTGTTTTTGGAGATGGAGTCTCACTCTGTTGCCCAGGCTGGAGTGCAGTGGTGTGATCTTGGCTCACTGCAATCTCTGCTTCCCAGGTTCAATCCATTCTCCTGCCTCAGCCTCCCGAGTAGCTGTGACTGTAGGTACCCGCCACCACACCCAGCTAATTTTTGTATTTTTAGTAGAGATGGGTTTTCTCCATGTTTGCCAAGCTGATCTTGAACTACTGACCTCAGGTGATCCACCAGCCTCAGCCTCCCAAAGTGCTGGGATTACAGGCGTGAGCCACGCACCCAGCCTGTTGTTTTGTTTTTTGGAGACAAGAGTCTCTCTCTGTCATCCAGGCTGGAGTGCAGTGGTGTGACCTTGACTCACTGCAACCTTCATCTCCTAAGTTCAAGTGATTCTCATGCTTCAGTCTCCTGAGTAGCTGGAACTACAGCTGTCACACCACACCTGGCTAATTTTTGTAGTTTTAGTAGAGACAAGATTTTGCCATTTGGCCAGCCTGGTCTCAAACTCCTGGCCTCAAGCGACCCACCTGCCTCAGCCTCCCAAAGTGCTGGGATTACAAGTGTGAGCCACCATGCCTGGCCCTGATAAACCATTGTGAATTGAAAATATTATAAGTCAAAAATGCCCTGTAGCCAGGCGTGGTGGCTTATGCCTGTAATCCCAGGATTTTGGGAGGCCAAGGTGGGAGGATTCCTTGAGCCCAGGAGTTCAAGGCCACCTGGGCAACATGGCAAGACCCTCCTCTCCACAAAAAAATTGAAAAAAAAATAGCCAGGTGTGGTGAAACACACCTGTAGTCCCAGCTACTCAGGAGGCTGAGGTGGGAGGATCACTTGAGCCCAGGAATTCGAGGCTGCAGCGAGCTATGATCGCACCACTGCATTCCAGTCTGGGTAACAGAGCAAGACTCTGTCTTAAAAATAAAAATAAAAATAAAAATTGACTATACCTAACCTACAGAACATGATAGCTTAGCCTATCCCACCTTAAACATGCTCTGAACCCTTACATTAGCCTACAGTTGGGCAAAATCACCTAACACAGAGCCTATTTTATTATAAACTGTTGAATATATCATATAATTTATTGAATATTGTACTGAAAGTGAATGACAGAATGGTTGCATGGGTGTTGAAGGTATGCTTTCTACTGAATGCATATTGCTATGGCATTATCACAAAGTTTGAAAAATCGTAAGTTGAATCATTATAATTCATGGACTGGTTATATATAGAATATATACTAGATATATGTAGTAGTTATATGTATCCACATGTATACTATATATAATATATGTATATATGATATGTATTTATACTTATATACTTTTATATATTATATATTTATACATATTATATTATTATGCATGATATATATTATATGTAACATATATAATATGTTATAATATGTCATATGTTAATGTCAGATATGTTATATACATCACATATGTTATATACATCATATATAACATATAAGTTATACATATATGTTATATATGTATATATTATATTATAACTATATATAATGTGTATGTTATATGTGGTATATAATACATAACAAATATAATATATACATTATACATAACAATTATATAATATATAATGTATATGTCATATATAACATATACATTATATGTAACATAATGTACATTAAACTGATTTATAACAAAATGTATGTTATATGTAACATGTAATATATGTTATAACATATATTATAGCATATATTATATGTTAACGTCAGATATGTTATATACATCACACACATATATGTTATATACATTATATAACATAAAAGTTATACATATGTTATATATGTATAGATTATATTATATATAACAATACATAATGTATATGTTATATGCTGTTATAACAACTATAATATATACATTATATATGACAATTATATAATATATAATTATATATCATATATAACATGCATTATATGTAACATAACATATGTAACATAATGTTATGCTATGTACATATGTTACATATAACATACGTATGTTATATGTAACATAATGTATATGTTATAGATACATGTACTATATGTTATAACATATAACATGTATACAATATAATATGTATAATATATACATTATACATAACATATGCTGTATATGTATATAGCATATGCATATAAAATATGTCTATAAACATGCGTTTATAAAATATGCCTCAATATGTATATGCAATATATGTCTATATATGTATTTTGTGTATATAATATGTCGGGAAACAGGGCACAGAAGATGTCAGGCACTTGCTCAGGGTCACAGAACTCAGTAAATGGCAGAGCTGGGTTGGTTTAGAACTGAGGTCTGCCTGAGTTCACCAATGCTCTTAGCCACTAGGGCACCCTGTCCCCGCTTCCCCCTGGGAAGGAAAGGAAGCTGGAGGTAGATGACTGATAAAATGGGACTCTTGGAAGAGACACACTTGGAGATTCTGTGAGAGAGGTGTGAAAGGTGAGAATGCCAGGCAGGAAATGATATCAACCAACGTCTACCCTAAAAGACGTGCCCTTTCCAGCACTCAGGGACAGTGCCCTCGATGCCTCTCAGTCTCCCTCAGACCGGCCAGGCCCTCTGTGGCTGCATTCTGAGTCACTCAAGAGCTGATCTCCTGTGTGTAAGGGCTGAACGCCTTCCTTTCTTCCCCTCTTAGATTCTCTGGGAAAGTTCCTTTAGAGGGAAGTCAGATTGGGGTTTTCCACATGTTGCAAGGGAGCAGAAGAGGCAGTGCCACCTAAGGGATAGGAGTTTGGATCTAGAACCTGAAGTGCTGGAGTTGCTTCGTGTGCCCTGGCACAAGCCACTTAACCTGGGCTTCAGTTTCCCCTTCTGCTCCTGCTTCATGAGACTGTTGCAAACACTGATGAGGCATTAAATATAAAGTACATAATGCCCCTTGGGTCTTAGGAATAGTTAGCTGCTGCTGGTGGTGGTGATGCTTAGTATCCATGGGCAATAGTTGTTCCAAGTATGAACAGAATCAAGGAGCCCAGAGACTAGGGTCATATTCACCTGTTGGGTTGTGTTTTTCTTGGGGAGGGTCTCACCTGAGTGAGGCTAGTCTGCAGCCTGAATAGAGGTATTCCAGACTGCTATTCCTGAACAAGGGTTTGAGCTGCAAGGAAGGAGAGGGGAGGTGAGAAACAGAAACAACAGCTGTGGGAAGCCAGGAAGAGTGGGGCATTGGAGGGGTGGACCAGGCTGGAGTGATGCGGGTGGGATGGGGTGAGGTGGGCGTGACTGAAATAAGTGAGCGTAGCATGGAAAGGTGGGCGTGGCTGGCATCAGTAGGCGGGGCAGGGTGAGGTGGGCTTGGCTAAAATCAGTGGGTGGGGCAGGGAAAGGTGGCTGGGGTTGGATGAGGTGGCCATGGCTGGCATCAGTGGGAGAGGTAGTGTGAGGTGGGCATGGTTTGTCTAAGTGGGCGGGGGAGGAGTAAGGTGGGCGGGGGAGGAGTAAGGTGGGCGGGGCTCTCACCAGACCCTGCAGGACTCTCTCTGTGGCGTTGAACTTCCTGGAACCAGGGTGCCGCATGTCCTCCACGTACTGCAGGTTGGTGATGGTGAAGTTGAGGGTGAATGGCACCACGAATGGGACTGTGGCTGCTGCAAGGAAGGAGAAAAGAAGACCACGCCTGAGTCAGATCTGAACTGACTCTAAGTCAATTTCTGA